TGTATCATTTTCCAAGTAACCAAACAATAGTTATTCATTGATTCAAAACAGATCTGGTTCACACCACACTATATTCAAGTAATGTATATGAGTGGGGGAAAATGTCCTGGTTGGGGAAAAAGCACTTAGCTTTAGTGAAACAGCAAACATGGCTCTATGATAGGTATGTCATATTTATACCTCCAGCCATCTCTTCATTTCAAAGTGAGTTGTGGTTTCAGTCCCATTAGCACTATTTTATTTATTTTATCAATTTATTGGCTGCTCATTATGGTTTTCTGCCTGGAAAGCTCCTAAGGTGGAGCTGAAAGGCAAAAGGGAAGCAGTATGCTCCCTCCCATATTTGGGGCATACTAGGTGCCTTGACAAAACATTGTGTGTGTGTGTGTGTGTGTGTGTGTGTAGATTTTCACGGGTGTAGGTATGCTGGTCTTGTTGTATTCGGGTCTTTTCCCATGTATAGTAGCTAAAAGATAGGGAGGAAAAGAGTAGAATGGGGTGGGGAGATGAGATCTGATATTAATCTCCTCCTCCAACATGAAGCCTTTCCTAGCACTATTTGAATATATTTTGATTTTTTTTAATGTTTTCCGGCCAAACCCTATTATGTTAACATGATTATAAAGCCAATTCTGAAGATGTTTCATGGCAGATGCTCTGGGTTAATTTATACCACTTATTTATGCCAGTATTTCCCCACTTCGTCAACTCCTAGAGGTGTGGACTTCAACTTCCACTATTTTAATTAATAGTATGCTGGCTATAGAAATCTGATTAAAGTTTATTCTGAAAATTGCCACAATTAAGAATACTCAATAAAATACTCAATAAAAATATCAAATGTCAAGCATTATGAAATAATTCAAGTCAAAAGTTACATTTATATGTATGGTGGACATGTAAAGAAAGCAAAGAAATGTTGGAGTAGGATTCATACTCTAATACAGAAAATTCTTAAAGTGAATATAAACATAAAACCATACAGTTTTTTTCTGGGCTCAATGGAAGAAAACTTGGGAAAAAAATTGAAAATTTTATGTTATATGTGTTGATGGCAGCAAGACTACTTTAAACACAAAAATGGAAGGATATTTTGATTCCTACAATGGACAAATGGCTGCAATAGTTGATGAAGTTAGAAGAGATGCCTAAACTGACTGTTTTGATTAAAAAAAAAAGAATATAAGTACTTTTGTTTCAAATTGGAAACCACTTCTGGACTTTGTGCTTGAGGTGAAAAAAATGAAAGTTTGATTTTGGGTTTTATTGATTAGATTTGTCGTTATAGAAATGGCTAGTTTATACTATTATGGAAAAGTAAAAGTTGAGGTTTGATGTTAATGGCTTATCTACTGCACCAGAGGGAGTTGGAAGTCAATGCCTTTTTTTCTTTTTTCCTTTCTACACTTCTCTCTTCCCCTTTCCCTCCCTTCTGTTTCCTACTATTTGATTTTGTATTTTTGTATTTTATACTTATCAGCTAATAAAACTGTTAAAACTTGGAAAAAAGCTACATTTATGAATGTCCCACATCTTCATTGTTAAATGTTCTTTTTCAGTGGTTCAAGAGTTCTGCAAAGCTCAACAACTACTTGGCCATTCATTTTTATTTCCAAAGAACAACTCAAGCCAAATGAATATTCCTTACAAATGTTTTCTGTTTAAGTAAGAACAATAGAATGTTGGATAGCCAGCCCTCCCACTGAATTTAAATGGAATTTCATCCCACAAAAGTACATGCAGAATGCAACAAGCAGGGTACTATAAATGGATCTCTGTACAGAGACATGGGATTATGAGGGGTCCTTGTGCCTGTTTTCTTGCAGACCTTCCATTACTCTAACTAGGTAACATCATCAGTGCTAGCAGTGTTACCTAGTTAGGGCAATGAAATGTCTGCAAGAAAACAAGCAAGCTCAGAAAGCACTAAGGTCCCCACATTTCAACCCTGAACTACAAATATTCCCCTTTATTGGTACTTGAGAATATGCATTACATAAAGCCATAGCTTTATGATTTACTTTTAAAGTCACCATAACTGGGTTCAAGTCCTGCATTAAGCTAAGCCCATGACATGATGCCTGGCTTTACACAAAACCTACCATACCATTATTCATTAGCATGATAGTTTACATTAGCATGAATAATGAACTCAACCAATGCCTTTTTCCAAAAGCCATGAGATATGAGACAGACATAGCCGCTTGTGGTGATCACATTTTTCCCTACAGAAAGATATTGACAAATGTTAAGGCAAGCTTCTTCAATTAGATGTTTTCCAGATATATATTGGGATTAAAAATCCTAAAATTCCCAGCCAATATGACTCGATATGATTGTCATTCCCAACCCACACGGAATATAATAGGTTATTTTATTTTATCATTTTATTTTATTTTTATCCTGCCTTTATTATTTTTACAAATAACTTCAGGATGCCAAACATATCCAACACACCTTTCTCCTATTTCCCCCACAACAACCATTCTGTGAGGAGGGTTGGGCTAGGAGAGAGTGACTGGGCCCAAGTCACCAAGTTGGTTTTCATGGCTAAGGCAGAACTTGAACTCAACAGTCTCTTGCTGGAGACTGGAGCTTTAACTATTTAACCAAACTGGCTAAGAGAAATCTGTGTAAAGAAGTACACATTCACACCAATGACTATTGTATCTCCTAATGCAGTGTTTTTCAACCACTGTGCCGCGGCACACTAGTGTGCCGTGACATAGTGTAAGGTGTGCCGTGGGAAAATTACTTTATATATAGTCAATATAGGCACAGAGTGAAATTTTTTTAACATTTTCTAATGGTGGTGTGCCTCGTGATTTTTTTCATGAAAAAAGTGTGCCTTTGCACAAAAAANCTGGAAGAGAAGCCTCTCGCCGCCTTCTAGACAGAATTCGCAGCAATTTGAACCAAGAGAGAGCAGATAATGCAGATGGAACGTAACCGCGGTGATTTCCCCCCCCCTTTTTTTTCTTTTCCCCCAGTGAAGAAAATCAACAGGCTCCAAAGTGCATTTTACAAGCGCCTTGGATGTTAATGGCTTTATCCAGATTACGTTTCGGTTCGGGAGTGCCACATGTTCACAAAAGGGGGTCGGTTTTCTTCCACTATAGTTCCGCCGACTGCCTGCCTAGCCCGGGTTCCCTAAAGGACGATAAGCCATGCTTGTTGGCATTATGCATGTCTGCCAAAGAGAGCGAGAGAGAGAGAGAGGGCGAGAGAGAGGCAGCTTTAGGGAAAATAGAGAGAGTGAATAATTCATTGAATTGAAACAGCGTGTTCGCCACCCCCCTTCCTAAAAAGAGAAGGAGGGGGGGGGATAAAGATGAGAATATAAGAAACGCGTTTTGAACGAATGGCTTTCCATCCGGAGATCCATATTCCCGGAGTAGATTAAATGGGAGAAAGGAATTGTATCTGAAAGAATACCGCGGGGGGGGGGGAATGGCAATGAGGAAAGGAGGAGGAGCTTGATGTAAAAAAAGAGCCTTGTGGTGAATTTTGCCCGCTAGAAATGAAATATTCCTTGACTGAGTGCCATCTTGCTAAAAATACTAGAATGTTGGCAGTACTGGGCTTGGGGGTCTGAATAAGCGGCAAATGCATAAATCTGCACTCATCACACAATGAAACGGGAGGGGTGGGGAGAAGAGGAGAGAAAAAGTACATGCCATTAATCTTGAATTCTTCACCTCCTTCCCCCTCCCCCCCAAAAAGACCACCGGCTTCTTAATGTTTCCGGGGGAATATATGTAGTTAGCTCGACTCCCTTGGTATGTGCTTTGCAAGCAACGAAGCGAGAGATGACACACCCCCCCCCCGACATTTCCTATGGCTCCACTGTAGTGATTTAAACCCACGGGGTAGAAGAAGCAACTCAGCAAGGATTAAGCAGTTAAGCGCATCTGCTCGCACTGGCATGGATGGGGTTGTGGGGAAATGAGAAACTCTTGATAGGATCCGGCTGCTTCTTGCTCTTAAGACGAGACCCCCGCCCCTTTCTTTCGAAATCTTGGCATTGTCATACAATACAAACCATCATGGCTCCGACAAGCAACATATAAAACGATTTAGATTTGAGCTCCATTGAGTTTGGAAGCCTTTTTCAGTTACACGTGGATGCTATTTAGACACACACGGAGAAATTGACATTCCTACGGTACTAGCTTCCTCATTTAAAAAAAAAGGTTTCGCATTCTCGGCAATTTCCAAAAAAAGATTGAAATCAGAACTAATCAGGCAGCGAAATTTAATTAGAGCTGTAGGCTCCTCACATTCCCCCCCCCCTCCGTATTGTTGGGGGAAGGGATTAAGCGTTCTACCGCCAAGGTAACAGCGGCAGCTGCTTTAAGCATTTTTCACATCTGGCCTACAGACCTCATAATTTTCAACTCATGATCTCCCTTAGCGAAAGTCGATCTACGTGGTTTAAATACCTTCCAAATTGGGAGAATTGAACAATTGCAACCAATTAAAGGGGGGGGAGGGCCAACCCTCCCTATCTGTTGATTTTTTTTTTTAAGAAGCTGGAGTGGGCAGGAGGAGAAATAGAGGGGGCGGCAGCGGGGGCGAGAAAATGAAATCACAAACGCACACAAGTCAAACCATTGTCTCTAACTTAACAGGGGTGGGTAGGGGGGGAGACTCAAGACACCAACAGAGTCTACCAACCCTGCAAGTCAAAATCTTCCCCCACTCCCCTTTATTTATTTATTTTTACGGAGCATTTGGCAGGGTGCAGTAAACACCGTGTATCCTTCGCTTTTTTTTTCTTTTTAGCAAGAAATCAGAGCACAAGTCTTAATGCCACTAATTTATTTATGTTCTTCGGAGTATTAATTATCAGTCCAAGGCCGAATTCAAATTATTGCAATCGCAGCTCCATTGTTCGCTCCAATTGGAGGCCCCGCCCTCTCTTTTGTCTGGCGGCGCGTTGATTGGTGGACGGCGGGTGGGGGTTGCCGTCAGTGCTTGGGAAGCCCATTCATCTGTGCACTTGGGCGTTGGACTCCGCATCTTATTAGCGACCAGGGAGATTTCTCCATTTTCCCCTTGTCTACAGTACGGCTACAAATCTGGGATTTTTTTTATTACTTCTCCTTTTTTTTTGTACTAAACTTGGGCTTCTGATATTTTTGCTCGACTATTTTCCTGCCTTTTTATCCCCCTTTCTTCCTCTGCTGCTGTCTTTTTTTGACCTCTCCAGCTTTATTAAAAAAAAAGAGTGCATATATTTAAACGTATTCGGCTCTCTTCTCTTTTTCCCCCCTCCTCCCCCACTGGTGTGTGAGTGTGTGTGCGCGCGCGCGCGTGTGTGTCTCGCTGCTCTTCAGGCTGCTGGTCGCCCAGCATTTTATACGAACGAACCTACTGTTCTTTGTTTGCCTTCTTTTGGATCTGCCGAGTTTTCTTTGTTGAATAAACCAGCATGGGCGCCCAGTTCTCTAAGAACGCTGCAAAAGGCGAAACTACTGTTGCTGAAAAACCTGGAGAAGCGGTAGCTGCATCTCCTTCCAAGGCGAACGGACAGGTAAGAAGAGGAGCGGCTAATGGATTGTTACTGGTTTCTGGGCAATGAGTGCAATGTTTGTTCTGCTTCCCCCTTTCTCTTTCTGGTAGGGGGGCGAATGGCTTTTCAACCAACTCTCTCTTAAAAATAATAATAATAACAATAATGGGTGGCTGTTTATGGTACCGTGTTTATGTGGGATTTTATTTTGTTGTATGTGTAATGCAGTGGTGAGGGGGGGGGCAATTCGAGATGCTTCCCTGCTAGATGGTGTCTTCTTCCTAGCTGGTCTCCGCAGGAAGGCTAATTTACCACCTCCCTTTGGGGGGGGGGGTTATATGTGCTTTGGTGGTCGGATTGAATGTGCTCTCCCGCGGTTTCCTGTACTTTAACAGGCTCTCCCCCCCCCCATCTCCGCCTTTGGCGCCTAAGGGAGATCTAGTTGATCGTGATAGAACTGTCGGAGATACCTGAAAGCAAGATTGAGGTTAGGGGCGCTAGAGTATTGTCCGCGTTATAGAGGGAAGGGGCTGTCGTGCGTAAATTGTCCTTCTCCATCTTGCTTGGCTGGCTTTGCTCGTACGGGTAGCTTACAGCTTGGGCTCTTGGTGGCCCCCTTCTATAGTCCCTTTCGCTGTAGTCCGCTTAAGGCAGATGCTGTTCTACAATTCGGCCGCTTTAGAGTGAGAATGCGGGAAGGCGCTGCGTTGTGTGAAACGTAAAGGGGCACACTTCCTGGGAAACTGGCCCGGCGTGGGTTCCTCGCTGCGGCTTGAAACAGGGATAGCGGTGGGTCTTACGAGGGTGCTGCAATCCGTCCCGTATCCAGGCGTTCTCCCCCCCCCCCCAGTAGTGGGGTGTAAGGTAAATGGGACTCGTCCCACCCGTGCTGTCGGCCGGTGCCAGCTTGGCCCGCGATATGCCACCCTGTTGTAGTTGCTCCAGAAAGAAACCTTGGAGGCGCGTTCAGCCCAGAGCCAGACCGAGCAACAGATGTGCTCGTGTGAATGGTTGGCAAGCGCCTCTTGCCTCGATTATACCGAGGCGGAAAAAAAGGAGGGCTGCCCGTTTTCTGCTTTGGAGAGGAGGAAAGGCGATAGGAGAGAAAAGAAAGCGGGGCTTGGGTAGATAGAAGCGGACGGGCACTTTGTTCGCTCATTGGAGCCGATTCTGGCCGAGCTCGCTCCTCCCTCAGCGTTGTTCCCTGGGCTGTCCCACCGTCGGCCTCGAGGAGTGCAAGACGGAGCCACAGTGCCCTCTAGAGGCCGACGTTCGCTTGGTAGCGGCTGGGATCTGTCGAGAGTGAGAGAGAAAGGAAAGCGCGGAACGAGGGCCGGGCGATGTGTCTGGAGAATGATGACGCGGGCTTCTCGCCGCGTAGCGCCCTTAAGAGAGTAGCCGGGGGAAAGGCGTGGGGGGCGTGGCTTGGCTCGGCTCTGGGGGGCGTGTTCTCCTTTCTACGCAGCCTTTGGCGACAGTCACGCGCTTTTCCTCCCAAGAAAGCCGCGGGAAGGTCTGGGACAACGTGCTGCCACAGACCACCAATTTATGTCTTGATCTCGCTCTGCCTCTCTCTTTGACAGCTTGTAATCCTTGGCTTTTATTTCTTTGTTGTTGTTGTTTTTGTTGTTTGGATGCCTTGAAGTCAATCTTGAATCCCTGGCGATAGCTTGGATGACAAGTCCCTGCAGTTTTCTTGGCAATTATTTTTTGTGGTTTACCATTGGTTTCTTTCTAGGGTGGAGAGAGCGCGACTGGCCCAAAGTCGCCCAGCTGGCTTTCTGCCCAAAGCAGAACGAGAACTCACTGTCTCCCGTTTTTTTTTTTAAAGTCTGGTGCTTTACCCACTAGAATGAAGGGAGGCTGCTGTGGCACAGGGCTTCAAGACCCCAGTTGCTCCACTTTTGCTTTGGAGATAAGCAGCCGGCAGTGTTTTTTTCCTTCCTTGGTGCCTTCTGGATTGGAGTTCACATCCCAGAATTTCCCCATTGGGTAGATAAAAGCTTCTGGGAGATGAAGTCTCCAATTGGAGGCTGCCTTGCACTGGGTCTTAAGAGAGTGTGCCCTCCAATAATACAGTCATTTTCCTTTTCCAGGAGAACGGCCACGTGAAGGTGAATGGCGATGCCTCCCCAGCAGCTGCAGAGGCTGTCAAGGAGGAAGTCCAAGCAAACGGCAGTGCGCCAGCGGAGGAGTCGGTTAAGGAAGAGCAGAGCCCATCCGAGGCTGCCTCCGAAAAGGAGACTGCCGAAGTGGAGAGCACAGAGCCTGCCTCTCCTGTGGAAGGGGAGACCTCCTCCAAAACTGAGGAGGGAGCAACTCCGTCTTCTAGTAACGAGACCCCGAAAAAAAAAAAGAAGCGCTTTTCCTTCAAGAAGTCTTTTAAGCTAAGTGGCTTTTCTTTTAAAAAGAACAAAAAGGAGTCTGGGGAAGGAGCGGAGAACGACGGGGCAGCTGCTTCGGAAGGGGGAAAAGCTGACACGGCGGCGGCCGACGCAGAGCCTGCAGGCAATGAGGAGCCCAAGGCTTCCCAAGAGGTGTCGCCTTCCGCCCCTGCCGCTGGTGCCAGCACAGAGGACGCCAAAGAGGAGACCGGGGGTTCCCAGGAAGCCCAGTTGGAAGAGACTGCCCCAGAGAAGCCTTCAGGAGAAGAGGCCAAGGCTCCTGAAGAACAGAAGCCGGAGGAGAAACCAGAAGAGGTGCCAGCGGCTCAGGTCCCAAGTGCTACCACCGAAGCCACCTCAACTGAGCCAGAGGCAGCCAAAGCAGAGGAGCCGGCGGCGGCGGCGGCGGCAGCAGCTCCCTCACAGGAAGCTGCCTCCGAGTCTAGTCCAGAAGCTCCACCCACCGAGTCGGCGGAGTAAAACAAGGCAATGAAAAGAATGGCAATTTTGAGATGATTGAACTTTTCTTCCCCCCTGTTTGTTTGTTTGGAGTGGTGCCAGGTACTGGTTTTGGAGAACTTGTCTACAACCAGGGATTGATTTAAAAGATGTCTCTCTCTCTCTCTCTCTCTTTCTCTCTCTCTCTTTTTGTCTTTACCCACAGATCCCATCTCAAATCATTCTGTTACCACCATTCCAACTGGGTAGAGGAGAGACTAAATGCCTCCCTTTGCCTTGTTCCTCCTCTTTTTTTTTACATCAGTATNCACTAGTGTGCCGTGACATAGTGTAAGGTGTGCCGTGGGAAAATTACTTTATATATAGTCAATATAGGCACAGAGTGAAATTTTTTTAACATTTTCTAATGGTGGTGTGCCTCGTGATTTTTTTCATGAAAAAAGTGTGCCTTTGCACAAAAAAGGTTGAAAAACACTGTCCTAATGAAAAGAATCCTTGTTCTTAGATCAACAGATGTTAGGTAAACATTGTGATGGTGTACTGAACTGTCATCTTATTTTATGAGACATACAAACAATGCAGAGCTACCTTAGGAAACCATTTTGAACTTGTTTTATAAAGGTAAATAGCAATAGCCCCTAGACTTTCATACTATTCCATAGTGCTTTATAGTACACACTGAGTGGTTGACAGTGTCAGCCTATTTTCCCCAACAATCTGGCTCCTCATTTTACTGACTTTGGAAGGATGGAAGGCTGAGCCAACCTTGAGCCGGTCAAGATTCTAGCTGTGTGAAGAGTTACCTGCAATACTACATTCTAACCACTGCACCACCATGGCTCTTCGTGCTGGTAAATGTTGGTGAATGCTTCAATGTAAGTTTTAATATCATAGATAATAAGATTTAATGTTTTGAATTGTTCTATACAATGCTGGGAGAGGAGAAAGAAATAATTTTATGTGGAAAAAAATGTAATGGAACTTTTGGAATTTTATTTTGGGAACTCAAGTTATTGAGTTATTGAGTAAAAAAAAACATACAAACTACACCAAATAGTTTATGCGATCCAAGCCGTGAGAAAGTTTTCCCTTTACAATCTTGTAATGCATGTTTTGGATATGTTGTGTTTCATCAGAGATCGTTACGGCTATGTAACTATACTGTGTGAGGAATCAAAACTCTGATTCAAATTAACTTGCCAAATTAACTTGACATCTGAATCAATTTGGATAATTTCAGATGCTGCTTTGCACATGTAGAAAGATATTCCCCGACTATATTTTCCAAATTGAAAACTGATACCAAGTCTCTTCCAATATGTGGGCTGCATCAGCCTTAAACTAACACTACTACTGTGCCACCATCATACTATAGAAATGGCATAATTCTTGGAGAACCACTGCACAGAAAATAAATAGGCTGGAGGTATGCCCTCTGGAGCTTTGTGATGACTCTTGCTTTGCAAAAATCTCTATAGTACAACACTTTCTTATGTGACACCCACCCTTGGCAACACTATACCACCCAAGGTTAAGTTGGCCCATTTCACTTGCTGCGGGTCTTTCAGAAAACCTGGCATGGGGATCAGGAAAATAGTTGAACCTGTACTATAGGTTGCATGGTTTCTTTGATGACCATGGCATGCTCTCATTGTTCCTAATTTAAAGTACTGATTTTTAATTTGTGTTAGTCTGCCTGAGTTGTATTTAGCAAGATATTATTTAGTAAGCTGGGTGAAGATGGATGTGTCAATTGAAATCAATGTTTCCCTTCCTGCAGTCAAAGTGGAAATCTTCAGATGTGAATCAAGTACAGTGGAACTTGGGTCACGAATGCTTCTGGCCATGACCAAATCGGATGCCAACCAAAAAAATCCACGAAATATTTCACTCTGTTTACGAACACATCCTCGGGTGGCGATCAATCAAAGCCACAGTGATTTCCCCTTCCACACCTTTTTTTGATGCGTTGCATGCAGAGTCAGTCTTGCTTCCAGTCATGACCAAATCGGGTGCCGACCGAAGTCCTGGAACGGATTACAGTCGTGACCGGAGGTTCCACTGTAGCAACTGTGCCACTCTCCTTGCACAATCATCAGTGTTCATTTGGGTATTTTTCTCCTCCCTGCCAAAAGAAATGAACAAGAATTATGAGGCAAGGCAGTGGCTGCAGCCCCAAGTTTTCTACTTCTATACTGTCCAACTCCAGTAGTCCCTCTTCTTTATCATTCCCTAGCTTTAAGAAACATCTGGGAAATATTTGCATACTGACCAATCCTGCTTCAGAAGGTGATGGATAGTGACTTCCCCACCTCTCCCCACCAATGCCTCAACCACAGTTTGTTGAATAACTCACATCAACTATGGTCATATAACACACTAAACCCAAATCACATTTTTGGCTCAGCATGATGCCTGAACATAGCATCATAATTATGTTAACACTTTTTAGAGTCAAGTGTTTTAAAAGAGAATTTTAATCCCAGCTTCTTTATACTTCTATACTTCTGCTATTGGAACACAATACAATTTTAAAATGGTAATCTCCTACTTTTTATTTCGATGAAAGCAATTTTGTTGCTAATTCTCCAGGATAGCAATTACTTTTGCCTATCCTGTGTTTCCATGTTGCAACATGTCTGAAACATTTGTTACATGTGGACTTGACTACCCTTTAATACACAAAGGTGTTAACTTTCCTCCCAGGACTTGTGCTTTTTCCGAGTACTGTTACCAGAGGTGGGTTGTTCCCGGTTCGGCCCAGATCCAGTGAACTGGTAGTAGCGGCGGCAGGAGGCTCCACCCACCTGCCCGGATGCTTCTGTGCATGCGCAGAAGCGTCATGTGTGCCTGAACTGGTAATAAAAATTGGCAACCCACCACTGTAACTGATGACCAAAAACAAAACAGCTTTCAAATGCCTTCCTTTCAAAGAAGCTCCCTTTAAACTTCACAGCATAAACAACCGCATATTGATTTATGGTAGTGTTTTCAACTATGACAAGTTTAAGATGTGTGGACCTCAAGTCCCAGAATTCCTTAGACAGTATGGCTATCTGGGGAATTCTGGGAGTTGATATCCACACATCTTAAAGTTGCCAAGGATGAAAAGCACTGGTTTATAGCATGCTTCTGTGTATTCTTGATTTGTGGTGTGACATTTAAAAGCTTCAAATGGGAAGTTGTGGCACTCAAAATGTGTTGGGTGTATGTGTGTTTGTGTGTGTGTGAATTATGTAACATTTGATCTCAGAAAACCACTTAAGAATCTGAGTCCCTTTTCTGCAAAATAAAATGTTGAACTTGGCTCACAACACAAAGAACAGTGAAAATGGATATTTATAGCACATTTTATAGGATATACTCCCCTTAGAATATAACACTTGTAACTTGGCATGATTAATGATAATTAATCACATGTATAGCACTTTTTAATGTATTAAGTTTAACAGCATGCTAAAATGCCAAGACTATTTTTACAGATGGGTAACACAATTCAACCACCCAAAGTCACCAGGTGACATTTTAACTCTGAATTTGGACGTCTGAATGCGAGAACATCAATTTTACAATTTGCCTGGCCTATGTGACACTACTGAGGTAAATATATTACAATTGACCAAACAGGTCTCCTGCTGTTTAATTCCTTTAAAACCAGGGAGAATTAGCAGATATCATTCTATCCACAGACAACATTGGTAGGGCAAGGGTGATCCATGTTTGACAATTTCTACTGCAACTAAGCACACATTTCTCTCTCTCTCTTCTTATCTGTATCAATGTAAACAATTCTGAATGTCCAGTATAATGGTCCTTACAAATTATGGAAGAACAATGTGGGTACTTAAATTCGTACAGTATAATAAGCTGTAAACTACAAACTACAACCCTACTAATTGTAATTTAATCAATAAAACATGTTCAAAACATGGCTTTCCACAAGGCTTAATCCCAGTTTGAGTTAATGATAGAAAGCATGATTTACCTGAAGGAATCTACCAATTCAATCATTAATTATCTCCTGTTTGTTAAATTACTGAATTTGTGGGGGGGGGGACTCTTCTAAAACCATGGAAAACCTTGGTCAATGAGCAGAGGCCTCAATTTTGCATCCAAGGTCCATATCTGGTTGTAAATCATAGAAGACTTTAGATGTCTATGAGACCACAGGGACAAAGTTATAATTTCCACCCTACTTTTTGCATGTGGCTGTGATTTAGGATAGTTATTTTTTACACTAGTAGGTGTGATAAGTATTAACATGTCTTTCTTTTGGCAGGAAATACCATAGTTGCAATTTCTGCTATTTACAAAATTAACCCAAAAAATGAAAGTGCCTTTGCTTTCTTCTTAGCCATCCCAAGCATAATTCCATATTTAACAATTTAAAATATGGAACTGTATCTGAAAGGATGGAATAGTGTGTCCAAGTTTATGTTTTAAAAGTAATTATAAAATAAACTGAAAATGCAGCAACACCGAAGTCTTAGGTTTGGGCTTTGCCTACCTCTGTTTAGGGGCTAGGAATGCTGTGGCTGACACACTCTGAAGCAGACTGACTTACATAACATGTCCCAGTCTTATGCAACAAGGTGGCACTGCAGATACTTCTCCAGAGTGCCTCAAAGGAAAAAAAAAATACACAACCTGAATAAATAGGATTGTGCAAAAGCAAAATTCCAAAATCATTGATACAATCTCCACATAATGTATTCAGGATCAGAAAATAATTTGTCCATACATCATCTACTTGCTTCTGGGATTTCTAAGTGTTCTCTCTCTCTCTCTATTTTATATTTATATCTCAGTTAATTAAGCACTGTAAAACCCATAGGGAAAAAGGCATGATACATTGATGGCTGGTGCTTTTAACACATTTATTGGAGATTTGTAGCATGACTGTTAAATGAATGTTTAAGTGATCCCTTTTTTAATCTTTCAATTTCAAATTATTTCCACCAGACCACTTATAATATTGATACTCAATATACACACACAAAACTCTTTTCTTGATGTTTGACAAAAAAAAACCTACTCTCATTCACTTGCTGCTAATAAGTGTGCATAAGGCTGAAAACAAAATAGTTTTAGGGGCTGTTTTAACTGGTGAAAATGTTAATAGCACATTCCACTTGGAAAATATAATCTGAGTGTGAGAGTGGTGCAGTGATGAAGGTGTTGGATGAGGACAGGGAAGACTAGGTTTAAGTCTAGCTTAAGACATGGATACTCACTTGTCAATGTCAGACACTTTTCTAATAGGGCTGTTCTTCTGTGAGACAACTAGACGAAAGGAGCACT